GATAGAAAAATAAAATAAGCTTCCAGACCTTCTCTTCTCAACTCCAACCACCCCGGCCTTCTCCTTTCCTTTCCTTTTCTATCCTTCCTCCTTCCACTCACGCCAGCCACACCCAAAGCCAACTGCAGCTGTCCCAATCTTTTCCTTCCCAGTCAAGCTCCTGCCAGCACTCTCAGGCAGTCCCCGCTACATATATATAGGCTGTGAAAGTAGTGAAATATTAGTCAAATTTACTCAAATATTGTGACTGAACATTTGACTAAATCAGGTCTTTCTGTTTTGAGTTAATACTTTATACCAAACTTGAGATTTTTTTTTTAAAAAAAGAATTTATTTATTTGTACTTTTCTCTTGCAGTCAATTGAGAATTTGCCAACAGTTTTTGGAAGCAATCCAAAAGCCCACATTGCAGCGAAGACTGTGTTCCACTTGGCTCATCGACATGGCGATATTTTACGAGAGGGCTGGAAAAACATAATGGAGGCAATGTTGCAACTTTTCAGAGCAGAATTATTGCCAAAAACCATGGTGGAGGTAAAACAAATGACAGTAGATGCTAGGATAATTGGGTGAGAGGACAAGGATTTGCCATGCTTGGGCTTCGTTGTATAATCAAAGCGCAAAAAAAAAAAGCTTAAATGTTTTTAAATGTTTTTTTTTTTTGCAGAACGTTAAATGCTATCTTAAAAAAACTTATAAATTGGGATTTTATAAAATATAATGACATACAGTTTTGTTTTTGAGAGAATGGGGACGTATGCAGGTGAGTGGTACAGGCAGGCCTGGGTTCAGGTGGGTACACAAATGGGTGGGTATGAGTGTGGGTGAGCTCTATGGAGTATAGGCATAGTTCAGGGGTAGGCAACCTTGGCTCTTTTATTATTATTTATTATTTATTTATTTATTATTTGGATTTATATCCCGCCCTTCTCCTCGTAGGACTCAGGGCGGCTGACAATCAATTAAAATACATAAATAACAATACAAATTTAAAATTAATTAAAAGAGATATTTAAATATTGTCAAATTTAAAATATAATTAAAACCCCTCTAAAAATTACCCTAGGCCAGTCCTGCAAGCTGGAATA